TCAGCTGCTGCCAGAGGCTCACTGCCTCGGTCACGTCGAAGGCCTTCCAGCCACTCTCGTGGAGGGACACCAGCCTAGGAGGAGACAAGGAGACCACGGGCCGTCACAGGGGCCCTGGGAGCCTCTCCCCGCCTCCCTCTCCCTGATGGTCCAGCCAGGACGCCCCACACCCATGTCCTCTGCCCCACATGCGCACGCACCACGGCCGCCATCTCCCCACCTGGAGTCGATGAGGGACGTGCGGTTGGCACCGTCGTTGCGCACACGCAGCCACTCGACGGTGACCCGGGCCCGGGCGCTGCGTGGGAAAAGCCGCTCGTGCTTGTGGAGCGTGGCCTTGGGGACCGGCTCCTGGAAAAGCCGCAGCACAGCCTGCACCAGCTCGCTGTTGGGCGGCAGCCTCTGCTCCATGCTGAACGCCAGCAGGTGCGTGGAGGCCTCGGATGTCAGGAGCCTGCCAGCCACCTCTGAAAACAACAGCAAGGTTAGCAGAGCCTCTCAGGGGACTGAGAATGGCGGAGTCAGTGAAGGGGCAGCTAGCCAGGCTGGGGGAAGCCAGCTCCTATTCTGTCTCCTTAGTTACCAAACCAAGGAGCTCTTGTGGTGTAGTGAGAATTTGGCTGTTAACCAAAAGGTTCAAGCCCACCAGCTGCTCTGCAGAAGAAAGATGAAGCAGTCTGCTTCCATAAAGATTTACAGCCTTGGAAAATCAATGAGGGTCGCTATGAGTCAGAACTGACTCGATGGCAATGAGTTTGGAGTTTGGAGTTACCAGACCAGCTGCCATCAAGTAGACTCAAGACTCCTGGCAATTGCACGTGTGTCAGAGCAGAACTGCATCATAGGAATTTTCAATGGCTCAATCTTCTGGTTAGCAACTGAGCACCAGTTTACCATCTAGGTTACGAAATACCTAAAAAATCTCCCTTTGGTCTGGGGCCTCTTTAGTAACAATTTCTACCCCAGCAGAAGAAGATCTGAGCTAACAGGGTTACCTCAGCTGAGAGGTTGGGATCAGAATTGTCACCTCTGGGTGGTTCAGGGCACTGAAGAAGTGAGACCCAGCTGCATTGCATCCCTGACAGCTGAACAGCATGGGTATTTTTCAGTTATCCCAAAAGGGCACTTTCCTATCCACACTAACTCACTTTAATGGTTGCAATACCAGGAGGTAGATAAGATGGTCAAAATGTTTTTCCCAGATGGGCAAACAGGTTCAATGAGGATTTTAAAACGATTTGCTCCAAGTCAGGCTACTGGTTGTTGTTAGCTGCTTTTGAGTTGGATCCTGACTCGCACATTAGAATCAGACCATTGTGATCCATAGGGTTTTCACTGGCTGATTTTCAGAAGTAGATCACCAGGTCTTCCTTCCTAATCTTAGTTTGGAATCCCTGTTGAAACCTGTTCAGCATCATAGCAACACACAAGCCACCACTGACAAAATGAGGTGCATTGGCTGGGAATTGAACTCAGATCTCCTACTTGGAAAGCAAGAATTCTACCACTGAGCCACTAGTGCCCCCTCAGGTAGTTGAGGCAGTGTGAAAGGGAACCCAAGAAGTCCTGACTCCATCAGCAGGTTGAGGCTGAGCACCCAGCCACTCCTATGTGCTGTACTTTCTCTTCTCTTCCCTCCTTTTCTTTGTTGTCTTGGCTTTGCCATCAGGTCTAGCCTGCCACACTTCCTCTGCCACTGAGAGGTGAGGTTTTTGGTACACAGAGACCAGTGGTTGAGGTCCACCATACTCAAGGCCATGCTCCCGTCTCACTGCACCTTGGGCCATGGGCCCCCAGGGGGACCCCCACCCCACAGAACCCCAAGCAGGGCCCCTTTGACCACCAGAGCAAGCACGACCAGACTAGCCCCACCACTCCCCTCAGACCAGGGTGCAGCAGGGAGGGAGATCTCACCTCGGAATTTCTGGCTGAACCTCTTCCCACGGGAGAGGACCCCGTGGCTGTGCTGCAGCAGGGCCACGTACTGGGTCCGCACGTGGGCG